CCAGCAGCAATGGCACCATGACAGCACAAGGCCAGGGTTTTCATGGAGACCGACCCCAGCAGCACTGGCAGGATATGTAGCTGGGTGGGGAGCTGCTCCAGGGCTGGGATCTTGTGGCAGTGACAGTGTGGTCTGGAGCTGGGGCAGAGTTGTGATCTGCTGACCGCATGCCCTGGCCAGGGGTGTGTGGGCAGCAGATCATGGCTCTGCCTCAGCTCCACACCATGCTGTCACCGCTGCAAAAATCCCAGGGCCGGGCGGCCCCAGAGCAGCTCCATGCCCTGCCAGCAGGCTGGTCTCCATGGAAACCCTGGAAGCAGCACTTAAAACACACACACACACACACACACACACACACACACACACACACAGAGCATCTTTTAAGTGAATGCAATTCACTTTTAAACTACTATAGTTTCCAAAGTTCCAGATGGACAGGTCTGGGACACTCATCTTTATTTTGCTCCATCTTTGGCATATGATAATATTGCTCATATTCAAGAGAGACTTTTAATAATTCAGGGTAGAATTTTCAAAAGCACCCAAGTGATTTAAGAGTGCCATTTTTTGGGAGGGTTTTTTATGAGCCTTTTGCCCCTATTTTAAAATGTCACCCTTAGTGATAAAAATAGGGGTTTTTTTTCTTCTGTCTCCAAACACCTGACATAAGGCCAGTTTGTAGAGGTGCACTGATACATCAGTCCGATATCGGATCGGCACCGATATAAATAAAATTAACTATATCAGAAATCGGCCTGAAGTGGCTGATAATTTGGCTGATAAATGCTTGTGCATGCACGCAGCTGCAGTGTAGCATGCAGGCAGCGAGGAGCGCAAGCCCTGCAGCTGGGGGAGTTGCGTCCAGTTGGTAAGTCTGGTGTGGTGGAAGGGGAAGGGAAGGGGCTTGAGGGGGCAGATCAATGCCCCCGTGAGGAGAGAGGGAGTGGGGCTGGGGTAGGCACTGCCCAGCTGGGGTGGGGCAGGGTGCAGGACAGAGCCACAGCTCGTTGTAGGGGTATGGGAGGTAGGAGTGCAGTTCCCACCACTGCGTGCCACTCGTCCCGCCGCTTGGCCTCAGCAGCTGAACCCTGCAGCCTCCCACTGCAGCTGGCCCAGGTTCTGGTTAGCTGCTGATAGCCATGGAGCCTGGGCTGGGAGGCAGGGGCTTTGGGGGCAAGGGTCATGAGCAGGGCTGGGGGACAGGGGTTTTGGGTGGGGGGCAGGGGCACAAGCAGGACTGGGGGTGAGCAGGGCTGGGGAGCAGGGACTTTGGGTGAGGGGCAAGGGGCCTGCAGGGTGGGGGGTCAGGGGCTTTGGGCGGTTGGGAAGGGGCACAAGCAGGGCATCCTGCCATGTACCCCCTGCCCTCGTTTTGTTTTTCTGACATGCCGTCACTCTGGCACCTTCCAGGGTAGGCATTGTGGGTTTTTTAGGCGCTCCAGCCAAAAAACGTTGCCTACCCCTGCTTTATACATAATAAACCTAACATTGTAGCAATGCCTTTGAAGTCCTTTCCTTTATATTTTTCCAGTGGAAACCTAATTATGCATAGTTTATGCCATGCTTTTAAATCTCTAAAATTGTTATTTAACGTTAAATGTAACCATTCATAGATGTAGTTATTAATTAAATGGGTTGCGTTACATTAGATTAAAACAACAATGTTTTTCAACAGAACAAAACAGTGTTTTGTCCAGCAAAATCAATTATGAATCGGGAGCAACAAAGGAATTTACAATGTTGGTGTATTATATTTGTACTAGCAAATTGCCTATCAAGAATGACGGTGGGGGGGCGGGGAACAGGGATGGAGTGCTGTGACCACCACCACCTCCCAGGAGCAGTGGGCAGGGCGGGGGAGCTTGCACGCGGTGGCCACCACCGCCACCCACTGGCCCACACTGCCACCACTCTGCCTCCAGCCCCAAGCTGCGCAGCCCCCCGCCGCCCTTCATGTCCGGCCATCTGTCTGTGTGTCTGTCTGTGCGGAGCACTCTGATTGGTTGTTTCAGTCAACATTGTGATTGGCTGCTTAGACAACCAATCAGAGTGCTCCAAGAGTATTACGGACAGACAGACAGAAACGGACAGCCGCACTAAGCCCATATATTATTATATATATATTATTATATAGATAATATATATATATAATTTGTAACTTTCAGTTATTTCTAAAGTAATTCTTGAAGGTACAGGTTTCTTTCAAAATCTGTAGAAGATATAGACTAGTCATATTTTTTTTCTTACACTAGTTTTTCATTTGTGCCAAAAACAAGACTTAAGTGCTAAAGCCACTCTTATTTTTCTAGGACTTGGTAGGGGATTTATATGTAAAGGAATTGGTGCATATTATTTTCAAATGAGCTAGTGTTTGGAACCAGCATTTATGAAGTCTGATGTGAGCTATGAGCTAAAAAGGAAGTCACGATTGTGTGAGGCCTGAGGGCATGGATGAGTAAGAAAATGGGAGAGTAAGTCTGAGTATATAACCCTCGCTCCCAAAAAACATTTTATACTTAATGACCAGCACACCTTTTAGTTAACCCCCCCCCAATACATAAAACTAAATAAAACAAAAAAACACCCCCAAACCCTGGTTGAAACCCTGGTTGAAACACGCTGTAGAAAATTACTTTCCTTCAAGGAAGGAATTCCAGCACGGAGTAGATAAATGCAGATGGTAATTTGGAGAGAATATGTTTAAAGATCAGCTGTAGCATAAAAAAAGTAAACTTAGAAATCCAAATGACATTTATGTGACTATTACTTCATTGTCATGAAGTTTAAAGAATCAAAAGAAAAAGGCAGTGGGAGGAGGTGAGCTGTTTCTGCACCTTGGCAGAGAGCTTTATTAATTAATAAGCTTTAATTGAATAACAAGTTCAAGAACGCATGGTTATATGCAAAGCTAAAATGTAGGCAGCAGAAAACTCATCCTAGAATGACATACTTGTGATTTTAGTTTCAAAATGTGGATACAGGATTTCAGTTAGAGGATTTGTATGTTCTGTAATTCTTGATTCATTCCTCCCCCTCTCTCTCCCCACCCCAGTGGTGCTAAATCTGTGGCCCAAGATGCTGTATCTGACCTATGGTATAGGGAATCAGCAGCAAAGCAACTTGACCTGGCACATCCCTTTTCCTGTCCTGTGCCATGTTACCAATCCCTCTGCAGGCAGAAGTAAGCTCTTTGCCTCTCTGCTGCCTCCTTTCTCTCTCCATATGTCAAGTTACCTATACTGATAAATGAAAAGAGGGATCTCATGTCAGTGTATGAAATTTATATGTTTCATTACTGCTCTGCTTAAATACTAGATTGGTTCTATAAACTGATATTTAAGATTCAAGAGCACTCAGTATGGGGGCTTTGCAGTAACCTTCACCAAAGGTCACTTGAATGCAAAATTCTTATATTGGCTTCTAGGCTGGAAGAAGTGGTCTAAAAGTCTAGTGTGTGGACCTAAGATTTGTTCTGGATATGGTTCCTTTCTGAAGGTGAATGTCAACAAAGAAGCCAGCAGGCATTTAAGAGAAGCTTGAGAGAGTCCAGAAGAGAGCCACGCGCATAATCAAAGGGCAGGAGAACAGGCCTTATGATTAAAGGCTGAGAGCCGTGGGACTCTTCAGCCTGGAAAAGCGCAGGTTCGGGGGACCTGGTGGCTACTTATAAGTATATAAGGGGTATACATCAAGATCTGGGGGAACGCCTGTTCACTAGAGCGCCCCAAGGGATAACAGGGTCAAATGGTCACAAACTCCTCCAAGGCTTTTTCAGGCTGGACATAAGGAAGAAGTTCTTTACTGTCCGAGCCCCCAAGGCCTGGAACAGACTGCCGCCAGAGGTGTGGTGCAAGCACCTACTCTGGACTTCTTTAAGAGACATTTGGACGTTTATCTGGCTGGGATCCTGTGACCCCAGCTGACTTCCTGCCTCTGGGGCAGGGGGCTGGACTCGATGATCTTCCGAGGTCCCTTCCAGCCCTAATGTCTATGAATCTATGAAGATAACTGTAAGGCCAGTGGGTTTGGAAAAGCAACCTATGGCTGATTAGTATCCCAATTACAGAAATTGTCGGATGCCAGAAAGAATAAGACTTGCAACATTTTAATTAAGAGATTCTTACACTGTCATGCTTGCAGAAGGTATTTTAAAAAGATACAGTATTCCATTCTTACAATCGAGACAAACATGTTACAATAGAAAAATGTAATGTTTGACTTCATTTAAATATAAGGACTTGATGTAAACGTGTTTGTGTGCACCTGCAGCTGTGGCAAGAGAACCTGATTTTTCTTAGGCAGTATTTAAAGGTAAAATGAAACAGCAGATGTCTCTTTTGAAGTTTCTCTGTGATGTGCAAGATGGCTGATGGGGGTTACATATGACTTCAGACTTGGTGAAGTGCTGATGTAAACAGTAGTTACAAATTGGGAAAAAACTTAAACCTCTGGATAGAACCTTTTAGATGAAATTAAGAGAAAATATCAATGGCTCAAATGCATGCTAGAACAATGAATAAGCTATACTGTGTAGTTCTTAGCAAAGTCGTCAAAGTTTCATTTGGATGGAAAAAATCAATAACTTTTTTTCTGCTTCTCCACATCAGTATGTTGTAATGAGTTTTTCCACTGGTATGGCAGCTTCATTATGTAAGTGGCAGCACCTTACATATACCAGGAAAGTAGCAATCTCTGATAATCAAGTTATATCTAGAGTCTTCCTAGCCGGATAAAATTTTCTGCAATATTATCATTCATACAAGTATAAAGCAAATACAGCCCCCCTCATTACTAGGTTTTTAATAATCCTGTTCATTATTAAATACAAATGACTAAAATGTATTCTTTCACATTAAAGTCTTGTCATAAAAATATTTAGAGTATAAACTTTCAGTCCTCAGTAGGGAAGGATATATACATATTTTTCTGTTAGTAACAAGCATTTTGTTCTATATTTGCACAGTTTTCACAGTTGAATGTTTTTATACGGCACTACTAAATTAAACTTCTGATTGCTCATTGCTGTCAGGAATGACAGACTTTAGGGCAGCATGACAAAAGCGATTTAATGTTGACATCTTAGTTTTCTGCTCAATGTACAACCGTAGTTTATCTTGAAAAGTTTCACCTAGAAAACTGTAAATTAGGGGGTTCAGGCAGCTGTTAGAAAAGGCTGCCAGGTTTACAATATGTCCTGTTAAGGGATAATCATGCCTGAAAGATTGGCTGCTTGATGAAGCTGGCTGTCCTTTTTCTTGAAGAAGCTGAACGCTGATGAAGACATTTTCAGGTAGCCAACAGATAAAGAAAACGAGGACAACTACAAAGATCATCCGAAGAGCCTTTTGCCGCCGTAATCGAAGACTCCTGTGTTTGTGCGCTTTTATGAGAACTCGAACAATTAACGAGTAACAAAGACCAATGATCACAAAGGGGATGATAAACCCCAACGTTATTTCTAGCCACTGGATTTCTTTCACATCTGCGAAGCAAAAGTAGACCTCTCCAGTGTGTTGTAAATGCACAACTGTAAATGGCACCAGTGATGCAGAAATTGATGCCATCCATATGAGGCCGCAGCTTAATCTAGCATGTTGCATGGTGCGAAATATATTGGACCTCATTACTTTTGTAAGTGCTATATATCTGTCAAAACTCATCCATGTCAGAAAGAAGATGCTGCTATACATGTTGATCTGAAGGAACAAAGACATGAAAGTACAAATAATAGTGATATCGTAATACTTCTCATCAAGATTAAAAACCTCAATGAGGGAGTCAGCAACTAAAATGAGGTCGGCTACTGCAAGATTTATGAAGTAAAGGTCTGGAATAGTCATTTTTTCACGAAAACTTATGTTAACAACCAAAATCAGAATGTTTCCGACAAAGCCAATAGGGAAAAGGAATATAGTGTAAAGGCATGATAAGAAAAGCCCAATAACATATTGTTCATGTTCGTCTGATTTATCAGACAAGCTAGATGATATGCTTTCATTACACAAATGTGAACCATTAAGTTTAAAATATGTGCTGTTACAAATAACTGATGATATTGCTGCTGTGTAAGCTTCCATGGTTCTGATCTCTGCTGGAAAGATTACATCAGTATTTGCACGTTGTATTTAGGGCCAAATGGTTAAATTATTGGCATTTCCAAAGACATTAACAACAATCATTTTAAAGATTTGAAGAAAGATTTACTTTTTCATAGGATATTATAACTCATTAAAATGGAATGGAAGGCAAGGCAATTTGGCTTGAAATTGGCTGAAAGTTATCAATTTCCAGAAAACTAAATTATTTAAGAAATTTGCTATTTACAAGGTACCATCCACACTGCAAATGAGAGACTTAATGTTTTAGATTATGTAGAAACTTTTTGAATGTAATGATTGTTTGCATTGCATAATGCAAGTTTTTCTTCAAGAGTGTTCCTTGTTGTAGATTGGAAAGTGGCAGAATTTTAGCTCCATTTGTCTCTTTTTTACCAATTTCTGAATAGCCTTGGACCTGCAAAAAACAAATGGAAAAGCATCAGTTTCACGACTAGAGGACTAACTTAAAAACTCAAGTAGTCCATTTACAGGGACCATGCATTTATACTTACCTTTAGGTGACGGGGAACATGATGTTTGAATATATATAAACACATCTTCAGCCAAAATGCAGTTAATATACATGAAAGATATATTATCGGGACTGTGTCGATCAAACATTGCTTTACATATCACAGACTCTTAATATGGCTAAGTATGAAAGAGGAATAAACCAGTCAGGGTGACTTGTTGACCTCTGGAAAAGACAGCAGCTTTTTTATGTATCACATTCCTTTTTATCCTGGTTAACTAGCACACTTATTTAATAGCATAGATTTTGGCTGCAAGAATCTGCAGACAGATTAAATGAATTGGTTCTTTCTGTTTGCAGAGAAAGAGAGAAAGAAAAGGCATCGTTTTAAGGCATCAAGATAGTATAAAGCTAATCTGTATTAATTTACACCAACATCTTTGACACTTTCTGGTTTTTTTGCCATACATTATACTGCGTTAACTTAAATATGGGTGTTCAGAATGGGTGTTCAAAATAAGAATGCTTTATAGATGTAAAATGATCTAGACTTCAAATTTTGGCAAAAGTTTCCTGATTAAAAAATCACACAAACACGCAGAGAACAAAAAGACCATGATGTATTAAAATACCTTTATAGTTGAAATTAAATTTTAAGTCAGTTGATTTAATTGTTTTAAAATAATAAACCTGCTAATAGTAAGATGATTACATTGGAAGCTGCCATATAAAAAACGAAACTGTTTACCTGTGTAACACTAGCAAAATTATATTTGGGGGCACATATGAAATATATATTTCTTTTTTAGTTCTAAATTTAATTATTTAAAATACCCCTGGTTCACAGTCCAGGGACCAAACCATTACTGGATCGAGTTTATATTAAAAAGAATTCTGGCTGTCGCTGGTAATTAATAGATATTTATAGAATAAAAAATCCAAAAGCATAGTTTCTCTCTTAGAGAGAGAATATATATATATTTAATGAAATAGGAAAGGGTGCATTATATTTTTTTGCTGCATTTTGAGACTTTGTTTATCCAAAGGCATTATTGCATGTATGTGAGGCAGGTTTGATTTTTTTTTTTCACCCAATTAGCAATCTGAGCAAGGTATGAATATTAGAATTGATGCCTTTTATGAAATGTTCAGTTTTTATTGAATAAGGTGATAAACTGCTTTGAATGCCCTGAAGGGCAAATTAATTATTTAAGTAGTTAATGATTCAGAAAGGTGGGTCTGTAATTATATTCTGATTATACAAATAAGTCAACCAAAAGCCAAACCACTGCAAACAATCTAATTGTTACATGTAACCACATAAAGCATTAGAATATGTTTTACCTTAATTCCTGTGTATCCATATAGCCATTTGTCCAGAGCTGATTTCCTTCCAAACACCAGAAGGCTGGTTTATATTCAGATATGTTATTAGTGGATATGTTAAAACTTTTATTTAGGTGATGCCAGGCTGCACTGCATGCCACCTGTTGGCAATTCAATAAGAAATAATCTATTTAAATTCATATTCGATTTTAAAACATCCTAAATAAATTATTAGTTATGATAGCAAAATGCAGATCTTGCTGCATGTCCTTGGCAATAAAACAGAGCTTTATAGATTCCCAGGGTCTGTTCTAACTTGTGTTCACTTGAACTGGTGCTGAACAGGCTTCCTTTAAAGGCTAAATTAACCCTATTTCTGCTGGTTCTTTTCCTTTATCAGAAGGACTCATCTGTTTGCCTTATATTTGACTGTTACCTTTCAAATTGCTTACCTCTGATTTAGTCTTTTTGCCTTTTAAGCAACGACTCAAATGCTACAGCACATTCAAACGCAGCTTCATTGAGTTTAAAGATTTATTTTTTCAAGTTGCAGCTCAATATATTTTGTTATTGGTTTGTAATATTAGTTTAGTTTAGTTTTGAGTTTTAAGAAAGCTTTTAATGGTCCAAGGACAGATACTAAAACTCTAGGAAAATATTAGCTAAGAAAACTGCAATTAATTAAACAACTCGAATAGAATTTTCTTACCTTCAAGTCAGTTGTATTTGGATTTATCATTTGTATTTCATTTGTCATAAGCACCAAGTGTATCCGCAGCTTGACACTGCTCTGATGTTGTTCAACTCAAGGCCACCTATAAGAAATAAGCTTAATGGTGCAGTGAATTTAGAGAATCAGTTTTTGCTTCTAAGCTCCAGTATGGCAGGTGGAGTTTTGCTTTTCAGCTCCACGGGTAGAGAAGTAGCTGCTATTTGCACAAACACCACCTACTGGTTGTTCAAATTGTTCTATCAAGACTGGAAAGAGAAGCTTAAGAACATTCAAAAACAGAGCAGTGCATTAAGCTCTTATTTCTCATTTAAAAGAACAAAATAAAATGCGTTTGACATAATAGCCATCACCTTTTAACTGGATTTCTTTTTATATTTGTGATCTGACTTCTTCCTGTAAAATGTCACTCATTGTTCTGCTTGATGCAACATTCTATAGCTGCTTACCTAAATTTGGCTATAAATCTGTATATATACCACAGTATTCATGTATATAACATTCCCATTTATATAACTATTCAAGATTTTCAGAAGTTCATTTTATACGTTTAAAATTAAAGTACAAGTAGTCAGCATGTTGCCTTTCCTAAATATTTACAAGAACTTGTTAAATTTCACTGAACATTGTTTTTCTTTTTTTAAGTAAGAGGGTCTGGTCATTTTTAAATGAGCAAGAGATTTATTTAAGCATAGCCACTATTAGAAGCACGAAGCAGAGAAAATGATCAGAAAGACCATTATTTTTACTGTAATGAAATGAGCATTATATTCAGTAGATGTTTTTGCTGTCTGGAGAAGTCATAGTATACCAAAATATCTGAAGGTTTTTCATGAAGATGTTGAAAACACATTTAGATATGAATAGGGCCCTACCTACATTGTGAATTGGCAGATTTTGCAGAAATCCAGGGTTGTCCACAAAATCAGGGGCGGGGGGCCTTAATAACAATTTTTTTTTTATTAAGTTTTCCCCTCCAGGGCAAGTCTCCCACCCAGGAGCGGCGTTCTCTCTAAGCTGTGCGGTGTGCGTGGATGTGCAGGCGCGCCTGGCAGCGCAGCATGAGCGCACCGCACAGCTTAGAGGGAACACTGCCCAGGAGGGGAAGGCACTGGCTGGCAAGGTGGCACAAAGGGGGCAGCTGACAAGATGGCTGTTGTCCCTCCTCCCCCCGGGTCCTATCTGCCAATCAGTGCTACGGGGTGGGGCTGGATCAAGGGCAGCCAGCAATCAAGATGGCGTCTGCCCCCTTGTCCTTCCTCCCCCCATTCAACAGTCTCTCTGGCAATCAGTGCCAAGGGCACAATGCCTGTGAAGTGGGCTTTTCATGCCAGGACAAAGCCACAAAAATGGCTTAGATTGGCTGCAAGTTAAGTAGGTCCCCAGCTATGAATGTAGGGTTTTATTTGTCCAGTCACAGTATCAGTGATACTGATTAATCCAGAGGCATCTTATTGTTCAGACTTTCTATGTTTAAAAAAGGGTAAAAAACCAATTTTAGTTGCTCTTGAACGTGGTATGTTTTCTCTCATATTGTCATTTGCTGATAACCCATGTATGTTTTATAGTGAAACGGTATCTTAACAACCCATGTTAAATGATACTCACACAAGTATCGGAGTTACGGCTCTCCTGACATACCTCATCATCTCTGTTGTTGCTGAGAAGTCACTTGATTGCAACTGATTTGCACAGTAAAGTGTAAGAACGACGTAGTTGAGCATTGGCGTTTTCCAAGAGGTTTGTTTTTTTTCTATCATAGTCAACTATTTTGATTTTTCTAGACTCGTTTGATAGTATTTAAGAAGAAAATTCTATTTATTTCTTAAAATGGAGTCTTCATTGACTCTAATGTTGGCAAGCCAGTCAATTGACTGACTGGTCAAGTATTTTCAATTGCATATTTTTGATCGGTCAAAGATCATTAGCATTTTTACAACCTCCCCCCACACCTACTTTATTTATAGTTTTCTTGATAGAAATATGATATTTTTTGTATTGCTTTTTGACACATTTCTCAATGGAAAATTTGGCCTGCATCAGCCGGATGCTGATTTTTCTTGTGGACAATTTGTGCTTTCTCTGTGGATTGCTTGGACCTGTTAGCAATTTTTTAATATTTTTGACCAATATTTGACTGGTTAATTGACCAAATTTTATTTGATTGGTCATATACCCAACCCTAACTCTAACTCCTGCGTACAAGTGGAGTTTCTGCCTTCCCCACCTGATCTGACAGGCTTTGCTTCCTTGTCTCCAGCTATATGGTGCACAAAGCAGGGTTTGTAAAGGAAGTAGAAACTTTGGCAACCATATGCCAAGGAAGGATCCCAGCAGTTCACCGCATCAGCCACCAACTGGGCAGTTTCTCTAGCAGACTAGATAACTGGGAAGAGACCATCTGGGGGCTCCCAGGAATGTGCGAGATGGAAGAATCTGCTGAGAGAAGTGTGGAACAGCACTGGGAGTTGTGTCAAATGCACTATGCAGGATTTCAATCAGGACGATGGTGGCAGGGGCTGATACATGCCAGGTTCAGGGGAAGCAAGGTGCTAAATTGTTCCCAGAGGAAAGAGGAGCAAACTGTAAAGTAACATTTGGTGTTAAACAGAAATATTTTCATATGCAGAAAAATTGGCATTTGTAACAGCCAGTGTTCTGTATCTTTGAAATTAGCAATAAGTGAAAATCTGTAGAGAATATAAGATAGACTGTTTATCTTCCTGATGTCATTGTTCAGTACTTGACCAGAGCAGATAGCTATTTTTGAGGAAGGTTGCTGCTGCTTCCCCAAATTCTTACTCCTTTTCCTCTTGCAAGAGATACTGTAACTTTTAACCATTGGGTGACATTCTTTCCATCTGGCTTCCTACACTTTTTCAACCCAAAAAAGTGTTTTTTTCTCCACTTCCTAACAAATGAAAACTTCTCAGCCTCCGTTCAAGTGGACAGCTGTGTTCCATGCCTGACAGAAATATCAGAAAGCCTCTAATAGCATGTATTTTATGAAAAAAAACTTTATACAGAACTATTGGCAAATGAATGCAATTCTCTTAGCATTTTCTTTTTAAAAACGAATGTTCACAAACAGGAAGACCATCTGGACTTTTGCAATCTATTCTGGTGAAAAACCCTCCACAGATCTTTATTTTTATTAAGATGTATGTTACAAAAACTGAATTCTAATATCTCAAATTTTACAATATGGGCCACTGACAATGCATGGAGGCCCCCATAACCTGTCATCTATCTTTCACATAGCAATCAAAATACAAAGTAAGAAAGGAAAACATGTAAAAAAAATATCACCCCTTTTTGTACAGTGTAGTTCAGCCTACTAATTCTTCACAGGATACCCCATTTCCATTTCTTTGTGGAAGGTCCTACATAAAACCCACCAGCACCCACCAGCACAACTAACACTAATTTGTCCCAACATTTGGAAGGTTAAGATATCAAGGTGCTATGAAGCTGAACATATCCTTTCCACTGAGAAGTCATTCTTGCAGGTCAGGTTTAGACTTAAGGGTGGGACTTGTAGGCAATTCTGTAGTGTATGTTATACCGCTATATAGAAGAATTGTCTTTGCTTCGTTATTAGCTTGAGTTTTGTCTCTATTCCAACCCGCTATCTTGCACACCCTTTCAGTTCAAGTTAAATTAAGTTTTCAGCTCAAGCCATCTGACCTGTAAATGTGCTTGGGTTGAATCTAGGATGCTGCTGGTCTCGACCCAGTAATGTTGTAGGGATATTGCAATTTGAATTATAATTCATCTATTGCCAATCCAGTCTGTGCAGCATGGTGTGATCACTTTCACAAAAGCAAACTGTTGCAGAGAAGGCAAGCCTTTACTCTCCAGAGCTTCCATTCCCACATATTTCATTAACACTAAAATTCACACTTAAAAAAAGAACTGAAACCCTTAGCAACTAGAAGCTTGTATCTTTTGCAGTTTACTTAACTGAAAGACATTTTTCAGAGCAATCTGAAGTCTTAGAAGAGTATGTATGTATTTCGCAGTCTCTCTCTCTCTCTCTCTCTCTGTCCTCTGGATCCTCCTCTGGATTTTTTCAAGAAATCTCATTGCTTAATTTTGGATACTTTGGCTAAAACTAGATGTATATTATTCCTCCCCCGCTCCATGCACTCCAACTATGTTGTGTGCCTGTGCAGGTGCCCTACCACTGCACTGTGCCTGTAACCCTCATCCCTTCCCCTCCATTCATTGCCCATGTGCCCTAGGCTCATCCACAGCTCTCCGTGCTGCTGCACTGCCCTGAATCCTGGGACAGCATGGGAAGTGACAGCTGGAGGAGGAAGGGGAAGCCTGGAGCTAGAGCAATGGGTAGGAGCAGTGGCTGGGCAGAAGCCTAGGGGCTGCAGTTTAATTCCACACAGCCCACGTGTTGGACAGATCTGATCTAACAAATGAGTCAGTCTTTTACTCTCCCTTTTCTCAGCTTGCACTGTAAGGTTGGGGCTGAGATTTTCAGTGTTCTGTTCTGCACTTGGCCATTAAAATGCTTCTTACCTAGATTGTTTTACATTTCTGCCTAGCTCGATAATCACTTTTTTACAGCCTTCTTTGAGTTGTCAGTGCATTCAGAACAGCAGCAATACAAAGCTGTATGAGGAAATACAAGCACAAACTTGATGAAAGATAATATGGGCATCTTCCCAGTGCATAACATGGTGTCTCTCCCAGATACAGGTGACTGGGGCCCTTAGCAAGACTATGCATCTCCCTGTGACTGCAAGTCATGTAATCCCACTCTATAAATGGCAGAACTTTTTTTAATACATTCAAGTCAGTGACCCTGAAAACAGTCCATGTGTACTGGATTCTTGGTAGGTATTGTTATCTTTTTTTGGTTCTTCCCATTATTGTTCCCAGTGATAGCTCTTGTATTTGTCCAATTGCCTGCCATTTTTGTGGGGATGTAGTTATGGTTATTCCTGGTAGCTCTGTCATCTTGTTGCTCCTTCCCAGTACTTTGTCTCATATGGGGACCATAGGAGGCCTTCCCTTCAGTCCAGCACTGTCTTCTACTTGAGCCATTGGAACTTGCTTCTTTCTCCAAAGGCTGCTCCCTTTACATGGATAAATAGGCTTAGCCCTTCCCTACTACTCAAGATTGTTTTTGCCACAAGAGAATTGAAACAGAAATCATGAAAATACTATTATCTCCAAGGCAAACAGGGAAGGGAAGGTGGAGAGAATGTTCTTAACATGGATGTTTTAAAATTGTGGAATCATGCACCCCACCCTCTGGCAACACAGTATATCACAATTTCAGGAAATTTTCCTGTATTTTACTGATATTGTCTTTGACCCTTGGAATTAGGCAACAGCATGTAATGTATAAATATCAGTAGCCTTGAAGGATTAAATTCCAAGTGAAAGTTCAGTTAAGAAACCAAAATGTCTCTTTCTCCAGTTTTTAGCTTTGGCGAAGGTGCTTCTGTTTACTCCTGTACAGGTATATTGGTGTTGTCACAAAAGCATCCTGTTTCCGACGTAAGTGGTCTTTTTTCAGAATTTTGATTTTGATTGGAACAAGCCCATTGAAGTGCAGGGAACTAATTTATATAAATAACAACTTGATGGTGAGACCTTGAGGAAAAATTGGACCAAGAGACTATTTTCCTTCAGTTGTTACCAATTGTAAGATGTATCAGATGGATATCTATCCTTTATTTAAAACATGCAAAATATCAGCACTCTGCAGGGCAAAGGAATCACGAGATGCAGTTTCATAGTGCATTGGTGTCATCGAGATCAGGGCGGTTGTTGGTAGCGTCTGTTCTTTTGCATTTTGCTATGATTTCTGCTATTCCATTCTTCAATGGTTTATGAAGACAAAGTATGAATATCAAGCTAACACAGCTCTCAATAAATAATATGATCTCTGCAATATTCATCATTAACTCAGTCTTGAAAGTTCCAATGCTTTCCTGTATCTTTAACATGGTCCTGTAGAGAATCATGACATTGTAAAATAGACGGCATGCAAACATTGTTATGGTTATAACAAGCATGTAAATGTGAATATTCTTTCTTAAGATTCCTGCTTCTGATTGTGCTGCTTTAATGAAGAATAGAATAAAACAGAGTAACTGGAGAATCAGAGGAATTCCAAATCCAAAGGTGAATTTAATAATCTCATATTCTGGCCATGCAAATAATGGATCTACCTGGCAGTCTGTATTCACATGGTAATTATCTGTGCCTAAAAGTGCCACCACTACCAGTGACATGCAGAAAGCACATGTTAGTATAAATCCAACACATAACAGGGGACTTTGAGTTGCTCTAGTTATCCAACTAGCCCTGGATGAAAATGGACCGAGTAGAGTGAGAAGCATCAAAATCAAAAGATACTGAGAATTGAAATAACTCACATTGAAAAAAAAAGACAGAGCTCCACATCCTAAATGGGTTGCCTTTAGATAGCCAGGTCTCGGTATGACAGTAAATGAGAAAAAAATCATTGCAATATTGCTGATGGTGAAATCTAAAAGAAATATATTTAGGTTTTCTAAGATGCGATGCTGCAAATACTCCTTTATGAAGATGATGAGGATCAGTATGCCAGTTAATAAACCTGCTGGCACAAAAAAGGCAATATAACAGTGCATAAATCTTGATATGATGTTTTGAGAAGCTATGACGTCTTCAATGTTAGTGGAGGAGTCCCAGCTGCTGCTTGGATACCTTATCCATGTCATATTGTGAGAAATCATCCTCCTATGCAGAGCTAATATCCTGTTTTGTGAAGTTTTGAAAACGTAACCTAAAAAGAAAGTGAAATACATTTTTTAAAAGGCAGTTGTTTTTCAAAACTATTTTCCATTGAAATGTAGTAGTCTTTTTTCTATTTTGTAAATATTACTTTTTTGTAACACATATTTAACTTTTTAATGGGTTGCTTGTGCAATTTAATATTTGCAGCACGACAAATTTGAGTACTTTTCCTCTTATCTGAACTCTACTATGTCCCTCTGTCCTATGTAGATACAGAGCTCCTGCAGCTCAGCTGTTGAGAAAGTGGGCAGGATTCAGTGTGTTCAGGGCCCCAGTGCAACTTATATATCGTGTGGATTCTGTTTTGAAGCAAGGAAGTTGGATCTGTGGCTACATAGAACCACGCTCTGTCCTCATCTGGCCAAAAGAGGATTTATGTGTTATGGGACTAGGGATAGTGCAGGCAAAATGATATATATCCTATAGATATTAGGGCTGTGTGCAGCTTCGGGTGGTGATTTAATTCGGAGGAGATTCGGCCTGATTTGGTGGCCGAATCTCTGAATCTGAAGCGAATCAAGGGTCCAATTTAAAGGTTCAGATTGATTCAAAGCTCTCTGAATCTTAAGCAAAAATTCTGAGAGCTTTGATTTGGGTAGTCCCTGGTGGCTGAAGCCACTCTGAGCTAGTAAATACTAAAGGTGGAGGAGGGGGAGCTGGGGCAATCCCCACTGCCCCGCACTGCATGGGGGGCTCTGCATGAACCTCCTCGCCCCCCCCCCCTGCTCCCCCAGCCCCCCTACAGGTGCCCCGGCTGCCGGGGCTCTGGTCCTTTAAGAAAAAAAAAGCCAAGGAAGCCCCAGGACTTACCACTCCTGGTGCAGCCTCAGGGCTTCGGGGGCTCATGCAGAGCCCCCACGTGGCGCGGGGCAGCGGGGATCGCCCCCTGCCAGCAGGAGCGGTGAGTCTCTGGCTTTCTTCAGGCATTTTTTTTTCCTTAAAAGGGCCAGAGCTGGCCTGTGTGGGGCACCCGTGAGGGGGCTGGGGAGTGGGGGGGGCATTTGGGGGCTCGTCCAGAGCCCTCCATGCAGCACGGGGCAGTGGGGGGCAACGGGGATTGCCCCCCACCCAGCTGGGTTGGGGCTTTTATTCCCCCAAGTGCCGGGAGCTGGGGCAGGCGAGGCAGCCATTGCCGGGCTGGGAGAGGGATGGGGATGGGCCTGGCCTGGCTGATTCGGAGATTCGGCTGTTACAGGGCTGGGGGCAGGGGCTTTGGGTGGTTGGGAAGGGGCACAAGCAGGGCATCCTGCCATGTACCCCCTGCTCTCATTTTGTTTTTCTGGCATGCCGGCACTTTGGCACCTTCCAAGGTAGACATTATGGGGGTTTTCGGCACTCCAGCCAAAAAATGTTGCCTACCCCTGCTATAACGTGAATCCTGCTGCCCATCTCAGAGTTGAGGCTGAGGATGCAAAGGAGAACCATATTTCTTTAGATCCCTTACATTATGAATAACTTGTTTCCTAACTGCAATCCATACTGAGACGCCCACATCAAATTAATGTGAATGAGTGTTTAAGAGCTACTCTGAATGAACTGTGCTTTCATAGTAATAGGTCTTCCTAGATTGATAGTAAGGTCATTTTGTTTTAAATACCACAAAGACCTTGATTTTGTTATGGTCTAAAGAGTGGCAAAATTAATTTTTTTGCCCTGAATATTTGGAAAACATTTGCAGGAACGTTATTATCTTGTCCATAAAGCTTTAGTGAGGAGCATGTGTTTTACAGCAGTTATAAATTCCTGCAGATCAGGGTTTTTAAAGGTAATACAGACAGGCTGTTAACTGTAATGGCTTTATGGCATATTCCTAAAATAATTCTGATACCATGAAAGTGTTTTGGTTTTTTTCTTTTAAGCAAATAGTAGACAGTGTGAAAAAAACACAGTCATTGTTTACTCAGGAGGGACCTGAATGCAATAAAACAGGTATATTCATTTTGCAGATCAACTAAAATTATAACTACTTAATCTTCAAAAAGGTAGCTTTCATACATTTGTTACTGGTAAACAGGCTGATTTGGAATATTTAAACTTCCCTCACAGTGGGTAGTGGGTATAATGGCAAAAGTTGAATAATTTTGAAACAGTTTCTTGTTAAAGTTAATGAAGTCAACTGTTTGTTTGTAATTAGTAAATTTTAAACTTCCAGCAATTAAATGTGATCTTAGACTGAAAAATAGTTTTGCGCACCTACAGTTTAAAAGTAAAGTATGCTAGTTTCGGAGGTTTCTTCTTCCTCTTGGTGTCCAAACATTTTTGTTTTTGCATTAAAGCATAGCAGAGAAGCCCACATTAAGACTTGGTTATGTTGCATGAACAGCTTATCTGTTTTGAGCACCGTATGTAGACAGTGGACCAGTAGGAGGTTTGGCAGCAGACTGGAGTCTCCCCTTATCTAATGGTTCCATATATCCCAGGTTCATAATGAGAATAACATCCCTCAAACTGTGCATAAGCATTTTTCCATGGAGGGGTCCTGTTGTTTAAACACTAAAAACGCAGGCATTTAAAAAAAAATATATTACTTTGTTATGGGGTTCTGTAATCTTAACCAGTATGAATACAGTGACAGATTTTTTAATTAACATTCTTAAGAGATAAATCAAGTCACTTTTTTCAGTTTCTCATGTCCCACAGCACCTCACATTTCTAGTCTGAATTTTAACTTTATTTCTATTACAGAAGATGAGTGTGTTTAAATAATGTTTCTATATGCACATTACGTATATAATACAGATATGATTGACTGCTTCACTTGTGGGGTTTGTTGTCTCCTAGTTTTTGATGTCAGGATGTTCTGGTTTTGGGGAAGTTCTGCTGCAGGAAAAGGGTTTGAGGAGCAAAGTTTAACTTCTGTTCCTACTCAGCAGAAGAATGAGCTAAGCTCATAGGGTGACTTATTTTATTTTCTGTTTGACCAGTTGGGCAATACTGCAGCAAAGAAATCCAGAATTTATTCCTCTCATAGAAGCAAATGGTTTCAGCGCTGTCCTCTTGGCTTTGCAGTTCCCTTTTGTTGGCCTGCATACACATACAGTAGCTTCTTACAGCTGTTAACTGTGTGCCAGTCCCCTGTAGCATAGTACCCATCTCCTCTCCTCTTTAGGTCCCCCTCCTTCCCCCCTTCCCTGAGAATAATCCCCAAAGGCCATGAAATAAGTTTTCCCCATTGCTTTCCCCTTTACATTTTCTATATAAAACACATGAATGAAAATTTTAAAATAGATCAAATGCTGGACCCTCCAAAAGGATAGGCTTTCTGGCAAATTCAACCTCATATGAGAGCTTTGGAAGGGGTATGAATAAAAGAGTCTAGACCAGTTTCTCATACTTTTTTTCATGGACCCATGAAAATTGCAGAGGTGTCTTGGCAGACCACTTAATAAACTCTTTTTTTTTTTTTTGTTCTACAAATCAAAGCACACACCTCATATTTTAATATCAGTTGTCTTGGCTTTCTAATGTGATGGATGTACCTGTTTTTTGAGCAAAGTTCTGGGAAGTTGGGTGTAACGTTTGTCAGCTTTAGCCTTAGGTCACCTTTCTGTGGACCTGAATGGAGCTCGTGGAGCAGTGGTGGTCTGCAGACCCATTTGAGACCCTCTGGTCTAGGCCATAAGGCAGCAACGAGGCACTGGGCTCACAGAGGAGAATTGTCACTTGTTTCAGGTTTCATCTCTCACAATGTTTTTGGCAGGTTGGGAAACATTTATGAGATTTGATATTTTCATCCACTCTTGTCAGTTTTTTGGGACAGAACTGAACATTAGTAGTTAGCTTCGGCTTTGTAAATGTTTCCTCATCTTTCAGACTGTCAGCCTAACCTGTTAAGGGATGGCTTTGAGTTCCCTTGCATGGAATCGCAGAGTAGTTCTGCCACGTCCTCCTTTCTGCAGTGGTATTGATTTGGCAGCAAGAATGTTTGGGGATTTCACCAGAAATGGTGCTGGCCTGCATCAGACTATGGAAACAACAATGCAGGTGGAAATGCGTGTTTTAACTTGTTCAGGATCTAGCCTTGGTACTGATTATTAGCTCCAACTTCTGAGCACAGCCAAGGGAATTTTACGTTTCATACAACTCTCAGAATATCCAAGCTGCAAGGCCAGCAAGACAAAGAAGGTTAGATATAGCAGCAAGCAGTGAAACTTGCAGTTTATTACCCATTAAGCTTCATCCTCTTGATTCCTGAGTTGACTGCTACTGTTGTGCACAGTGACATTTCTAAGGAGCTAATGTATTTCTCTCATAAATACCAACAGCACATTATCAACCTGTTTTAGGCCTCATTTATCATGCTTATCGAGAAACCTGCCAGAAACGGGTAAGGGCTAGAACCGGTCTTGCCAACCTGGAATTTTTTGTTTTCAGGATAACCCAAGGTGCCAATTTAAAATTGATGTAATGCTAGTGTTGCTCCCCATGTAGACAGTCTTATTCCTATTTTCAGTTTTGCTTATGCCGCCAGGGAATGGATACAAGTTAAACTTCAGTAAGCTACATGTACTCTAATAGGAGGGCCTACATAGGGAGGTTTTATCTGTACTACTGTACTTGTACAATTATTATTTAGTGCGACAGGGAATCCTTTTGTATGAAGACAGGACTAAAGTGTTTCCTTCTATTATCCTGCCAATGCACCTTTCTGAAAAATTCCAGGAAAACACCCTAGCATCCTCCACTACAGCAGGATATTATTACTAAAAGAACAAACTGTTTACATCTTCAATATAGTTCATTAGTACACACTGTGAGTGTTGCTTGCATGTTGTGCACCCCAGGAGAATAAATGCATAAACACTCGATGCTGTCTTAATGCAATTTAAAGGTTTGTGGTAGAACCAGAATTTTAAGATCACATTAGCTGTCTTGTCTTCCTTGAGCTCTGTCTAGCAAAGTGCACAGTATTTTAGGTACCAAGTCTTTAACTCCAGTTGATTTCTTGAGACTTGACCGTACGTAAGTTTTTAAAAGAGGAACTTGATCCATGAGTACTTTTGGAAGTGCAGAAACACACTCTTAAGAATTACAAGTTACAGATAGGGGCAAAGAGTCATAAGTTATAAGCATGGGTTACAAGAGCTTAGTATTTGCTACAGTGTTTTGTCGTCTCTGTAGCTGACTCGTTGCTTAGCCTTGAACCGATGACTTGTCTTAGTGTATATTATTTTATAAATAGTTATTCTTCTAAGGCAAGCAGAACTTTCAAAGACTGAAGTCAAAACCATTTTGTAACTCAAGAAGGCATCTTTATAAGGTGTGCCTCATCCTTTGGTCTGCAGTATGGGCACTTATACACATGCCAGACGTCTGCTCCAGGCATTGGTGCAGACTTGATTAATCAAATCTGCTTGAGCGAGTTAAATAGCACGTTCCAGCAACCTCCGTGTCATGTATTCAGCATCCCCATGATTCAAAATGGCAGCAGGTGCTCATGAAATGAGCCTTAGTTAAAGCAGCCCTGCTGAATACATGTGGTGCTGCGGGGGCTTTATTTAGAGTGGCTCCCGGAGCCGCACTACTTAAAGCCCCCCCTCCTTACCCCAGGGCACCTGTAAAGATGCACGGTGAGAGCATCCCTAGATTCTCTGGTAGCATGCAGCTTTAGGCTAGTTGGTCAGAAGCTTTTAGGGAGGGAATCCATGCTGCTGTGTCCTACATCCTAATATTTCCAGCTGGGATTAAGAATTTAAATGCCACCTCTGTTAAAATAAGGTGAAAATCATTGAAGATTCCCATAAACCTTCTCATTTGATGCTTATTGGGCTTAAAGTGAATTTTGTCTGAGAGGGAGCAGAATGCTTGAGGGTACTTATTTTCTTTTCTTCCCCTTCCAAAAGCTCCAGACAGTCAAGCAGGCTTTAAAGCTGCTCAAAATGCCTTTAGAGATCCCATTATGAAAAAGACACAACATTTCAGGCTTCTTTCTCTCTTCTGGTAAATTTTGGAGTTCTAAAATTTTGTCACTGACTCTCTGCATTACAATGGCAAAGGCTTACTTCACTCTGGCCTGCAGTGTACTTCCATACAGATGCAAGGGTTATGCCTTTCCTGTTTGTTGCATTTCATTTATCAATTTATTATCTTTTTGTATGCCCCCAAAATATAAGGCTTTCAAACATTATCACATTTTTCCTCCCAGTACCCCTTTGTGCAAGGTAGGTAGCAGTTTTATGGAAGGGGACCAGAAGCCCTAGACATTGTATGACTTGTTCAAGCTCACAAAATGGCAGGGGGGACAGAGCATGGCCTCAATAGCTTCTCTTCTGCATTTCATATCCTGTGCGGCAGCCACAAGAATCTCCTTAATAGGTGTTGTTGGCATCAGCTTTCATTCTGTTATCTCAACTGCTCTCTCTCCCCTGCTCTTTAGATTGTTTCGTTCCCCTCCCTTGTTTTGCACTTAGGTCATCGTAGTTTAACACCATCGTTAGTTAATGCACTTCCTTCCTCCCTCTTCATGTTGTTTCTCTTTCCCATTCTTTAAGTTCTTGCTGTTTTATTATATTCTGCTCTGTTATGATTTGTGTGATGGCAGGGAAGGTAAATGTGTTTGATTTTCATTCTTTGAAGCACCATTAGATAAATTACCCTTCACAGCCAACATGGAGCAGAGCTGTTCACCATGGTTCAGGGAAGACAACACAGGACTGCAAAAAGTTAGGAGTTCTAAGTGGGGGTATATGTCTTGGGAGAGCCTAGACTCTAACTACATTTTTTAATATTAGTTTGGTGACCTAATTATCCAACATTTGAACTTGATGTAACGAGAAACTGACACTTGTTTATGGTCTTCTAAGGGGCGTCCCTAAATAAAGGAATTATTTTCCTTAGCAACCAAACATCTTTTCATCTTAAAGCTTAGCAGGGCGGCTGTCTTCTTTCACCAGTTACTATGAAATTATTTCCTTTAATCCAACCACGTAGCTTTACACACAAGATTTTTGTGGTTCCCTGCATATGGAGTTTTAACCCTTCAGAGCCCCAGAGCATAGACGGTCTAAATAAAGCTTGCTCAGATCATCCTTCCTTTCTTCTGTGATAGAAAGAGAAACCATACATTTTTTATCACGGGATCTAGCTGAAGTACTGTACGAAGATAACATTTAAAACATCACCTACTTTTTTTTATCTTTCTCTTACACGTTGTGATAACTGAAACTGTCATAGGGCTCTTTCAGTTATGACATTGAAAATGTTCTAGGAACCAGATCTTTTAGCTCTAAAAAAGTTACCGCTTTATATTAAATTGAAACTTTATACTTTTATGCAAATGCATATTAAGCAACAATGACAACATTGATTTTAATTTGCGCTGTTGATGCTTTTTTCTGCAATGTATGATAATGCCCATCTATCAAGAGAATGGATTTAGCTTCTAAGGTTAAGGCTTGATCGGTAAGGCCCAGACCCTCAAAGTGCATCTGGAAGTAAAACTCTAGATATCAAAACTATCAAATTCCAATTTAATAGGAGTTAATTTCAGTTGCAGTTAGACACCTAAATACTTTTTGAGAATACGGCCTTACTCTTTAAATGTTTGTTTTGTGGAAATAGTAATCTTCAGTCTATTTTGGACCCAGTTCTATAAATAAATATCAGCTTTATAAAAACATGTCCCAGATGTGGTATTTCATAGTGCTTTGTAGAGTCCAAATATTGAGTGAAAAGAAAAAGATTTTAAAATAAGAGCTTTGATCCTCTAGTGGCAATCTACATATTTAAAGAAATATAAAACTTACCTCTTGAAGAAAATGTTCCAGAGATACAACTGGCCGAGACTTTTGCCGTGAATAGTCAGATGAAATATAATTACAGTTTGGAGGAAATAACCCTTCTTATTATGCAGGAAGCAGATGATGAGGGTGTATTACAGTCACTTCTTTAGCTGCTGTATAGCAAGCTAATATCCCAGGCACCCTAAGACTACAAAAGCCTACAGTTCTGCAGAGAAAACAGAAACTGTTTTAAGTAATTCAACCCATACACGTTGCATGTTTAGCAAACCTATGGTTTTATCATGTGACCTTAAAGTTCAAATCATGCTACGCAGCAAGATGTTTCAGAACAGAAAAGTAGTGTTTGCCCTAACCATTTCTGAGTCTGTGAGGCCATCCAGTGGCCTCTAATTCAGGGTTTGGACGTTTTCCTAGTCATGAAGTGAACCCACCCATGTTAGGCAGTCTTTGCAAGTAGAATTTTTAGAAGTGTGCTGCCTGACATAACACTTTCCACTGGCTTTTTGGTTTAAACACCTTAAAACTAATACAAGTCAAAGCGAATGTTGTCAAGGGCTCTATCTAAAATGAACAATGTAGGGTACATTCCTG